AGCAAATGTGGTGATGAGTGTGAGAAGATTTGCAGTAAGATTTGACTAAGAGTTTAATAAAATTTGCCTGTGGTCTCTCATCTTTCATTCTAGAAGTCAAGTGGTTCTGCCACATAGCTTGATGCACATGTCCCTCATGGCCTATTCAGGCTTTCTGCTTTGCTCTTTCCCATTGAATTGATTTTCAGACTTGCTTAATTGATACTTGTGTGCCAGTTCTTTGATCTTTGCCATTGCTACTGCCTTGCTTTTGCTTGTGGGGTACCTAAGCTGAGGTGCAAATTACAAGCTGGTGGAGTGAAAGAGGAGGGAGGTGGAGCAGCATATCAGTTCAGTCTGGGAGAATAGAGAGCCGTGGGAAGAGCAGGATCTAACAGTCACTGGAACAGCATGGGGCAGAACTCCTCTGGGCATTTACTTTCACTTCAAAAAATGTCTTTTTTCCCCAAGTTGTGAAATTCAGGAATTGATGTACATGCTAAGAAGATAGTAGTAACTGTAATTTGTTTTATACCTTCTCACAATTTTATGAAAATATGTTGTGAAAGTTCATAAAGTGCATAATATTAATTGACCTATTAGATTATGGCTATGTTGTTTACATTTATTATTTACTAGCTGAATGAAATGACATCTGTATACGTTGTATTAATACAAAATAAAAGGTAGATAAAAGATTGCAAACAGGAAACTTTATAATGTACAAAGCTTCCTAAGAAGTAGCAAGTTAAGCAGCTCTGCATCTGTCTTGATAGAAAATGGGGCAACCTATTTAAATTATGTGCTATTGTAGAAGGTTATATAGATGCTCAGTAAGTAAATCTTACTTTAGATGCTTTGGTTTCAAGTTGCAAGACTACAAATAACAATTCTATCAAAACTAATGCTGTAAACAGTTCATTGGTCGGTACCTGTTCAGTTTGGTATTTGCTTGCAGATTGTAATTAACAGTTCAGCGTTTTTCTTTTAACTGCATGCTCTCTACCCATAAATAGGCATAATTGCCACTAATCGAGACCCCTAATCTCAAGCAATTATAAGATCTTACATTGTTCTAATTGCACATTTAAAAACAATGTGTTTTTCTCATACGTTATAATCCATACAATTATTAATTTCTGCTTTTCTTTTTATCTGATCAATGTTAATTTTGTGTGACCTCACAATGTGTTATCTGAAAAATGCCTTTGAGGCATGCAATTTTTGTGGTTAATTTACGGTTATGTTTCGTCTTTGGTGAGAAGTGATATAGTGCAACAGATTTTCAAGGCTGTACTTTTTCTCAGCCTTCTATGAACTCAGTGATTTGTTGTAAACTAGGAACTTGTTAGTGAAACAAAAGTGCAACTCTACATTTAAATCATCTACTATTTGTAAATCGGGGTGCTTGGTCTTTGAATAGTATTTAGGTTAGCACAGGCTGCCCCTTAAGTATGTAAAAGGGGTTGGTTTTATTTCTTTAATTGTTAAGTGGAACTTATATGCAGACAGACAGAACTTCTGGATCAGCTTTCCAGAAAGTGAAAATTAAGGGAATTCAGTTTTAGAAAGCACTGCAAATCTTGGGGGCAAGATGTAAGAGGTTGTTCAGTAGTTGATGTTGGTCTCACTTGTTGCTGTATGGTTCTTATGCACACGTTTCATATGCAAGGGCTTTGGATGAGTGCATTTTGAACAAATCATCATCAATCTGATGATTCATCTCAGGAACCGCATGCAGCACTTACATCTGTAATTGGGGTAATTGCAAACCTCTCATTCTTAGAGATAGAAAATCTTCCTTTTATAATTCTAAAATCAGATCCCAGATCTTTCACTGTGGTAGCTGAGCCCTACACTGACTTGTATTTATTTCTCTATTCTTAATTGTTACATCATTAAAAGTAGCAGATGATTTGGTGACCTTTCCAACCTGTGTCTGACCTTCATGATTCACTTGTGCGGGTAATTGACTATTGAAATTACTATGCTTTTATGTTTGATGTTATTTAAACACTGGTTTAAATGGGGTGACACAGTCTGCATTGTAAATGGGTAGCCATGCTGTTTGGGACAATGTGTTTTTCATTATCTATTGTCAGAAAAGAATATTAATGTGGGGGGGGGCTGTCTTTTCTGAGGGATGTTGACATTCATGGAGAGGAGGTGTTTGCTGCCTGCTTGATGTGCTGCAGCTTTGTATGCAGAGTTAGAACATGCTATTGCTTGTTCTGCAGAAGAAATTTTCTCCTTGGTTGAGCTGTAGGCATGGGTGCTTCAGGCTTGTTTCTGGACACAGTTCCTCAAAAACCACCACACATCCTTCATCCAGCTGATGCATCCAAAGAAGCTGTTTGGGTCAGATTAATTTGCGTCCTTTCTGTGTGGTGCACTTGTGGCCTAGCTTGAGTCGAATCCATCTCACACAAGGGCATTTCCCCCTCCCACACCCCTTAAAATACTTTTCCTTAATTCCTGTGATCCCCTGCCCATAGGACTGCTAAGGAGTTGGTAGAGTCTATAGGGTCTGTAGAGCAGTGCTACAAATTCTGGCCAAGGGCTCCAGGGATGTTTGGATGTTGGCATGTGGCCTGCATTGTCGCTGTTACAGGGCAGTGGTCTAGTGTCAGTGTTCAGTCAGTCCTGAAACAAGGATTTGGAAGTTTTGCTCTGTCTTAAATTGCCCAACTTTCTTCCCGTGGTGGAGTGTGTGTTTCTGAAATCTTTCTGGCGCTGCCGTGTACTGCAGTGGGTTCATTTGATTATTCCTTTGAAAAGAAGGAAAGGCACACAGCTAGCTGTTTCTATACAGAAGAGGTCAATGTTTAATATGCTAATGTATCTACCCAATATTAGGCTGCAAAAATCCTTGGCTTCAGTGTGTCTTTAATAGTAATAAAGTGGTTAGCTAATGATAAATTAAGGATTGAAAGTTTGGTTGTTTTTTTTTTTAATAAAAAAATTAATGTAGGCAGGAATAATTTTTCTTGCCAAGATAATTGTCATGCTGGAGCATAGTGGCTGCAGTTTGTAGTGGAAGTTGCTCTAGGACTGCTTGCCGCATAATCAAAATGAAGAACCAAATTTCTGTTTTTTCTTTAGGCTTTGTGTGGATGAACAGTAGTGGGACAGAGTGGGGCCTCCATTTTACCTTTGCTGGCACAGAGCTGTACATCCTAAGATACTGAACCAGCGGGTCTCACTGTTCCCCAGAGAAGAAAAGACAGTTGTATTTGCAAAAGTATGCTTGCCCGGAAATCTACAGATGTTTGTGACCCTCTTCCTAATCTGTCGCCTATTTTAGGCGTTTTATTTGTCGCGTTACAGTGGCAGGCGGAATAATGATGTTTGTGGATGCCTTGCGCTGCTGCAGTGGGACTTCGCAGTTTTGGAAGCCCTGGGTTTGCTTTCTCTTAGGGAACCTGGTAGAAGTCCGATTAAGTAGAGCGTAAGGTAGCAATATTGTAGCGTTGTGTTGGCATTTGCATAACAGAGAGCAAAACAGGATGTAGTTAGGGAAAGGTAATGCTGTTCAAATACAAAATACTCGTGGATCAAGGAGTATTTATAGTAAATCTGTTTTTTAAAGCATTTCTTCGTTCTTCAGCACTCATTGCATCAGACTTCCTGGTATGGTTTAGCTCAGGCACAAGTTAAGGTTAAACAGAGAAATAATCTATACATTTCTGGTCACTGTGTCCCTATTCATACTCTCCACTTTTTTAAAACTGAGTTTGCACATTTTCATGTATATCTTTATACCCGTATGTACAGAGGGGTAGTTGGAAAAGGGGAGAGCTGGTCTCTACAGGAATTCATTAAAAAGAAAAGAAGTCATATAGCATCAAGAAGGAATTCTGTAGAGAATCAGCAGTGTAAAGGCCTTGAGCAAGTCTAAATTTAAATTGCATCTCTTGATGATTGGGGAAAAGACAGTTCTGTAAGTTTCTCTTGCACATTATCAAAGGTTTTTTTGTTGATCATAAAACCCTAAAGCGTCTTGGTTGGCTTAAGGTTATCCGCTTGTAACGCTGACCTGAATAAATAGCTGCATTCCCAAAGGAATGAAAGGGATGAGGATTTTTTTTTTTTTTTAAAAGGGGGTGAGGGAGGAAATAAATAGCAAAAAGGGGTATTTAGATAGGCAGAATACTCTCTTATTTTTTATAAATTAATTATTTTTATCTTGAGTGGAAGAGATACTGACAATTTGATGCCTGTTTTGGGGGACAGGAAATGATAAAGAGGAAGACTTTCCTCAGCAAGCCAGAGCACTTACTGGTGCTTTCAGTTCATCTGCTGTCTGAGTGTTCCTCTCACTGTACAGCCAGCCTCTCGCTTATCACTGACCTGATTCACAACATGGGAAAGCTCCCCTTGAGGCTTCCTGTCCTTCCCCTTCATTCAGGGCTGGACTGGCTGGAAGAGCCCCAGGCCCCCCCGTCCCCCAGCCTCTGCAAGCCATCAAAACATGACCATTGAGACTTCCACCAGCCTGCTGTTCTTTCTTGGGCTTTGGCAGGCGGATCTGCTCAAGCCCTGTCTGTTTTCATCTGCTTCTCTCCACACCTGGAAATATTGCCTTTTTTCCTTTCTCGTGTTTATTTTTAAACCCATCTTGATGAACCAGCTGGCTTCATAAGTATGCTGAATGAAGTCAGAAAGGCTGTGCAGCATTTGGTCTGCGTTTGAGGGCTCTAGATCGTGCCTCAGGCCTTCCTGTTCTTCTGCCTGAAGAATATAAAACATAATGTGAGTTTTTATGTGTTATTAAACTTACATCTATAAATCACTGACCCATGGTAGCAGTTTATTACATATTCCATCTTCTGCTTTGATGCATTGTTGTTGTCACACTGAGGTGGGTAATGATGACTTGGCTTACTACTGTGGTAATGCACTTAAAGCTTGGAAATCTGTCACCGATGGCATTCAGCACAGGGGCTATAAACCAGAGATGAAATTTTAAAGTATTTGCTGTCGAGCTATTTGTCTTAAAATTCTTGTGTCTTCTGTTGCAGTTTCGTAAGGGTTCAGATACTACTGGATTGTTTGATGGACAAAGACAAATAGTTGTGTTTCAGGAACTCTGTGTTGCAGGACTCGCCATCACAAAAGTAGGTGGTGGTCCTCAATTTGTAGTACAGAAGGTGAAATGCTATAAAATGCTTGTGCTCATCAGGCCTTCCTAACAAAGCACCAATACTGCAAGCATTTCAATTGGCCTGGTATTTTCAGTCTTAAAGCACAGTGGAACACAGACTGATCGTTACAACTTATTGTGTATTATGTCTACTGTTTTTCTTCTTTTTTTACAGCCCTTCTGTATGCAACCATTTTTGGTAATGTGACAACCATATTTCAGCAAATGTACGCTAATACAAACAGATATCACGAAATGCTGAACAGTGTCCGGGACTTTCTAAAGCTCTACCAGGTCCCTAAAGGACTGAGTGAACGTGTGATGGATTACATTGTTTCCACCTGGTCCATGTCCAGAGGCATAGATACTGAAAAGGTAAGTAAATTAAACTGCAAGGAAACAAGTCACATCCTGAAAGTATCTCATTAAAATAAACAGGAGGTACTTTCTTAGTAAAGACGACAATATTCTTTAAATAGTTCCAAGTAGTAGCTTCCCTTAATTTTAAACTTTCAAATACAGTATTTCACCTATTCTATCATACTGACATATGTTAGTGGTAAAAGTATGTATGAGTTGCTGGTGATATTTCATGAAGTAGTATAAAAATGATGAAGGAAAGAGCTTGGTTTTCAGTAAACAAAGAAAACAACTAAATAAAAAGTTCCAAGTTCTAACACAACCTCAGAATTTCTTCAAATGAGATTTTCTTTTAATATTTCTGTTGTGTGAGGTTTGCAGCTCTGTGCTCTGAATGCAAAGTAAAATTTGTTTTGCCTTCATAGAATTTGAACGTAATATTCTGTGAGGAAGTTAAAGATATTAATGAAAGCTGGAAGTCATTACTGTAATAATAATGTATTGTTTGAAATCTTCCTTATGTGAGGCAAATGTTATCATCCTGATTCATTGAATTTACAAGTAAATTCCCATTGTATCTTTTAAAATAGTAAATGTCCCTTCACCAGAAGAAATGTACAAAAGCAACTGCTTGCTGCTTTCTTATTAGTTGCTAGCTTTTATGGAGATAGATACTGTTTTTCTTCTGCTTGTAGAGATGTTGATTTGTGGCGTGGTTCGTTCAGGAAATCGTACCAATGCTCCAGTCACCAGCTTTCTGGTTGGTGGCTTAATTTAGTATTCTAAACTGTAGATGATGCAGTTAAAGAGCAAACAATCTCATTTCTGTCTAGCTGTTAAAGCATCATTATGAAAGAGTAGAACAGATGTGGTCTTGCACTGGGCTGTCTGGAGAACAATGGGTACACAGGATACTCCTTGCTCTCCTACATGGTGTTCAGCATATCTGCCATTTAGATCCCAGACCACGATTCTGGGAAGCAGTGTCTGTCATACTAGCTTTCAGAAAGAAACGGTATTTTAGTACTGGATAGTGCTAATTAGAAGCTACTCTGCCTATTTTCTCACAAAACATCTTTGTGTGGGCTTATGGATTTGAGGTAGGTACCTTTGGGGAAGGTGGAGAGACAACATGTGAGGATACATAGTGCAATGAATACTGGTGTTTTCATTCACCCCCCCAGTACAAGCTGCTCTCATCATTTTAACAAAGCAACAAGAAAAAAATTCCTATGTAAAACATGTTTGTTTTAGCTTATCTTCAAAGTTCATTCTTGGCTTCCTCTGATAAGGAGAAAAATGCTTTAAGAATGCCTTTGGAGACGGCAGGATAACCAAACCAAGCATGACTCACTGTAACCTTTGAGAATTATCTTAATAAACAGGGAAAAAAGTCTCCAATTATCAGGACATCAAAGAGCGTAATATGGTTTTGATTTCAATAACTGGTGTGTTCATAGCTGAACTGCCAGTAGTGACGACTGTAAAACCAAGAAATCAACTTTCTTTTGCATAGCAAAAGCTAGCAGGTATAAGACTGACTAATGGCTGTGCTAATCCAGAGTCTGAGCTCTGTTGGTTTGATGCCTGTGTGTAACTTCTAGGATGTCACAGAATGAATAGAACTTGTATTGCTCCTGTGACAGAATGGTGGTAATTGTGCTGCTGTGTAATGCAGTGCAGCTTTCTACAGATGAGGCAGATATTTACAGATGAACTTAGCACAGAATCAATCTTCTCACTATTTTGTAGGCCACAAATTTGTCAATTCAGTGTTAACTGCAGGCATGCCAAGAAGTGAATAATCAGCTAAAAGCAAAGTTTTTAAGTCTAGAAAATGCCAGTAGAACAAAATTTAACCAAGAGCTGCTGAGAGGTTCTAAAATTAATCCATGAAGATATGTTTCTTACCTCCCATACAAATGAAAGTCTTCTGCCATTTGTCTGTAACTCTTAACTGTCTTTAATCTCTCTTTATTTTTGCAAAATCTGCAGACAACTTCTCTAAATGGAGAATGGAAAATGACTTAACTTCCTCTTAGGGAAACCAAGGAGTTTTTGGAGGAGAGCCTCATTTTAAATATTCTCTTGTATATTCAGATTTTCTTACTGCTATTTCTATTAAAACAACCCTTTTTGGTGTGATATATTCAAGTAACTGTGAAGTGTGTGTGTGTGTAATTCCAGTGCCAAACTTTGGCAAGCATCTGCAAACACAGAATGTTTTTGTTGCCAGAGTAAATGAGATAATTGCAATGACAGCTATGGCTGCTGCCTGTGTCCCACGTTAAATGCTGGTCTTGCTGCCCCAACCCATTCTTGTGAGCCTGGAAAACTGAGAACTGGCAGGTTCATCTGCCACTCGCTGTGGGACAGAGAGAGATCATCCATGAGTGCCCTACACTTAAGCACTGTAGAAATACGTCTCTTTCAGAATATGCATAAGAGCAGGTTGTCTTTGAGGTGGGCCAAAGCTGATGATGTTGGTGGTAGATTCATCGGCCTTTGGAGTAGCAAGTGTAATATCTGGAACCAGTGCTGTGTGCAGAGTTATCAGCCTGGTTCTCTGCTCAGATCTTGCATAGAGCCACATTGTGAGGTGTAGGCATAGCCATAGTGCTTCCTGTGTTACCCTTATGTTTTCCAGGAGTGTTTGCATTGAAACAGCCATCTCTCTTAATCCAGGAAAATGTGTGGGAGTAACTCTGAAGCTCACCCTGAGTACTCCTTAATTGGATGAAATAGTTATTACTGAGAAAAAAAAATGAAGCAGACTTACACTACTCAATATTTTTCTCAAATACGTCTTGAGATGTGCTTCATCACAGGTTATCCTCCAAGGATTTTGTCATCCCAAAACCCTGTTCATGTTATGTATTTCCAGTGTGTTTGCCAGGAACTTTTAGTCTGTATGTGCAGTAGTAATTCCGTATTCTTTCCATTTGGCTGTCTGTATTATCTTAAAAACCTTTAGAAATGGCTGTGACTGGTACCCACTGTGCTAAGTGTCAGTTTGCACACCCTTAGGAGCACACATCATGAATTGCCTTGAGGAACATTGCATTTGGAAGATCAAAAGTTGCCCAACACAGTGTCATACCTTAAAGGCGCTTCTTGTGCGAAGCAAAAACCTGTTACTGCTGCTGAGGGGTGAATTTGAATACCTGCAAATCTCAATATTATGAGATTTTTATACTTTTTTTTAATAACTTTTTTATTTGCTAAAGGCATACAAGATTACACTTCCCCTCTATACAATATTTCTCTCATTTGAAACATATATTTTATGCAGGTTTTTCATGGATTCTGCCTATGAAAAGTGATCTACTCACTAGAAACAATCCTTCAGGAAGCTTTTCTCCACCACTTTCTGTACTGCTGTGCTCTTAATTTTATTGTCTTAAAAACCTGAGGCCTTATCCTGGTAATTCAATATCCAGCAGAGCGTGTTGCTGAGATGAAAACATTATTTTCTTTCAGGTATTGTGGCTCATGTGTATATATAATTCAAAAATAAATGTACAGACTGAGATTAGAAATTTTATATGAAGGAGGAAAGTAGTTCTTAAACCCCATGTAGTGAACTAGGGCTAATTGCATGGCACATATAAGCCATGCACTGGAATTGATTGCCTAATTTCCTCCTCAGGTTTTGCAGATATGCCCTAAGGACATGAGAGCAGATATCTGCGTGCATCTGAACCGCAAAGTTTTCAAGGAGCACCCAGCCTTCAGGCTGGCGAGCGATGGGTGCCTTCGAGCGCTTGCCATGGAATTTCAGACAGTGCACTGTGCCCCAGGAGACCTGATCTACCATGCCGGCGAGAGCGTTGACAGCCTTTGCTTTGTGGTTTCAGGGTCTTTGGAAGTAATCCAGGATGATGAAGTTGTTGCTATATTGGGTGAGTTTCACAGCTGATAATATGTGTTGTGCACAAATACAGATGCATAGAGCATTTTTATAGCCTCTTCTACTCAAGCACTTAACTCATTCTTTAAAAAGCTTCAGTCAAGTTAGGTTTTCCATAGCTTGGTGAAGTATATTTTAATGAAGTTGTCAGCTGTAAGGTGTTAGAGGTTTATTGTCTGGAAAAATTGAGAGAGAGGAAAAAAACCTTGCTTAATGTCATGCAGGAGCATTGCATAGAGTCATTGACTTGTGCTTCCTGTTCCACATAGGTAAATAGGAAGGGCAATTGTGTCTTCTCCAGATTGCTTCAACCCTATTTCTTCTGGTCAATGGAAGCTGTACTTGAGCATTGGGATCTTGGTCATTCTTGGGGTTCTCCCTGTCTCGCCACATCTCTTTTCATTTGAAATTCCATTGAGGACTTCAGAAAAGTTATTTTTGAAGTGCCTGGCTTCCCTCCCACACCCCGATAATAATCCACTTTTGCTGAAAATTTTCCAATTAGCTTTATTTAAGGTGTCATGGTGAAATAATATTTATCTCTTTTAAAGTCAAAGTAACATAAAAATTTAGAGCTGATTTGTGTTAACTTGGAATGACACCTTTAGGTTGGAGGCATTAAAAAGAAGCTGATAGTGGTGAGAACAACATTCTGAGGCAAAGCTAGGAGAAAAGAGTGTGATAATCCAGTAGATGTAGATGAATCATGGGGTGGCAGAAGCATTGAGGAGGTGATACTTATCATTTGATTCTGTCAGACCCTTTTGTGATAAGGTAAGTTCTCATGGTGGTTTAATCCAGTACTTGTCACTCACAGCAGCCGGGAAAAAGAGAAGAAAACAGCTTGGTAATCTTGTTCTCTCTGAACACATACATCCAACTCTCCTAAGAGGAATGTCTACTGGAAAATGAGAGGGCTAATAAATATGCGGAGTTCAATTTTTTTCTACTTCTGAACAGGATTGCATATATTGCATAGGGTGATTTTAGTGTTCTAGGCAATCATGTTCATAATATTTTGTGCCACACAGGAAACTAAAAGGGTGAAAAGTAGGGGGATAACTGATTCTCTTTTGTACTGGAATGATCTGTACTGGTCAGTGCTATATGATACTAGCGACTTCTGCTTTTCTAAGTTGCATATCAAGAACTTACTACCTTTTGCCATGTTGAACTCTTACGAATTAACATGGCAAATGTAAAACAAACTAAAGCCTCTCAGTTTGTGTCACCTTTTATCCCATAAGGCTTTCTCCTGTGTCCATCTCAAGAAAAAATCCTCAAAACATCTTGCTGCTCTATTTAATAGTTATAGGTAAAAAGCATTGAAATAGGATTTTTAAAATGTGCTTTAAAGATATAAATTTTCTTCTCTTCTTTACCAGTAACTTCTGTGTTTTATCATAATACTCACTTTAGAAAACACACAGCCTAGATTCCTTGAGAAATCAGCGTTAACGAAACCCAAACCCCTAATCTCTGCTGCTGCAGATAAATGAGGCTGATCCCTTGGTATCTGAATGAATAAAAGTGTTTTTTTATTGCTGTCCTCCTGGGACAGTAACTATTGATCCTCTTCCCTCCACACTTTTTTTTTTTTTTTTTAAATTTGGAATCAGTTCTCTGGCTTGCACTAAAGTTCATGAGCTCTGTCATTTTCTTTGTGAATATTGTAATCAGAGAGGAAAGTAAAATGAAGTAGGATCTGTTTGTGATTCTGTTAGATTTCATTTTGGATAAATGTGTATCAATTTTGTGTTTCAGTTTCTGGACTAAGGAATCCCCTTCCTTCCGTGTGTGTGTGTACCTTCATCCCCCAGGCTGTGAAGCCTTCTGTTGAAGGTTTCTCTATCCTGAGAAGAAATGATGTGGTTAACTAAGTTTTTCACTATTCTAAATCAGTTGGACTTTCTTCTCCTTCAGCATTGCATAATGTAGCCACCACAGTACCGAAGGATGCTGCAGGAGATAGGTCAGGGTTTCCTCCCTAATTTCTTTGTACTCTCAGTTTTCTATCTGTAGAACAGAAATGATTTAATTCTTTTTTTCAATTTCATGTTCAGCTAAACTTGTCAAGCTCTTGATAAAAGTACACCAGATAAAATGAAGGACTACAAGGAAAAAAAAGTCTGTATTGTACAAGAAACGTGATTGTTGTTGATCATTCAGCCAGAACAGCCTATGCCATAAGTTTTGTTTACCAGTCACAACTAAGCATAGCTGTGAACATCAGGCATGTAGCAGCAAACCACGTGAGGAATTCTGTAGGGTAATTTCAGTTAACAGGTATGTTGGAGAGAGACAGTAATCTTCTCTCAGATGTTCTTGAGATAAAAAATAAGTGCATAAATTATTCAAGGTGAATTATTTGCTCAGCTTTAGCTGTCACTTAATAAAGCAGCTTTTGCAATTTGCAATGTAGCCTCTATCTTCCTTACAATAGAGAAGTAAATTGCATCTCTAAATTAGTCTGTGTGACTGCTGTACAGCATTACATAAAACCAAAGGCAAACTACACTTAATCCTTAAAGGATCCGATTCATATCAAACATTTTCACTTTCTGAAATCTTTTAACCTTGCAGACTAGCATATAAAAGTGTATTGTGTAGCCCTGGAATTTGGAGTGTGTTGTGTGCACTTGCATAATATCCTTCCAGATCAGTTCTGTGTAATACTCAAGAGACAGGTATATTCTCAGTTCAGGCTTATGTTCATATTACAAAGCACTAACTTTTATTGACTTGGATTAATATGAGTACCGAGTTGGAAGAAATTGCACACAGGCCAGCAGTGAAAAAATGTACATTAAAATGTCCCCTAAGATTGCCTTCCCCATTAATTTGACCTAGAGACAAATACAAAAATGAGTAAATAAAAAAAACCCCAGACCTTCTTTGCAATGTTTACAGTATAAATTTAAAGAAATTGACATGTCTTGTATGAATTATGATTTGTTGGGATGAAAGATGTATTTTTTGAATTCTATCCAAAATTTGTGCTGAAATAAAGACATTACTGATGTTCATGCAACACAATTTGGATTTGATGTGCCAAAGAAACAAAACTAAAAAAGTAGAAAATTACCTCTCAGCCAGGTGATTTATTTATTTGTGATTCATTCTAATACAAATGGGTCAGATAAGGAAGATATAGCAAGAAAAGCCACTGTATTACCATGGTTTTCTATGTGTAAGTATTCGAGTTGGGGTTATGAAAGAAGTGAAGATTAGCTGGTGGGAAGCTGCTGGGATGAAATACAGTTCTCAATGTTTTCTGTAGTTTACTTCTTCCATTGACACCGTTGTTGTCGCATAGGGTGAAGCGCTGACGTACACTCAGCGCTTTGTGGAAGGTCGAGACAAATCACATGGTCCCTTCCCTGAGGAGAGCTGAGTGAAGCACAGGTCGTGCAGGACTTCCATTAAGAGACTGTTTTCAACTTGGCATTGCTTTTAACTTTTCTAAGCCTTCCCATTTGGGCTGATGCTGCTTTATCTGACACTGACATATCTCTTTGAACTACTCTTGCTTAAAAACTTACCCATTTATCCGAATGTGGTTAGAGAAAATGGGTTATTTTGTCACTGTTAAAAACATTTAACTATTTATGTGAGCTTCATTTGGCAGCTCTAGTTTCTCTGCTTTGGTGCAGACCTTTCAGGCTGAGCCACTGGCCATCTGAAAACCTGACCTTACTGCAGGTCTTGGAAAAGTTAAAATTTACTTGTGCTCAGGAGAGATTTGCTACATTTTAATTTAACTAATATCTTCTTAAAAAATTCCTCCTGAATTAAAGAATTAAGAATTAAATGTGTTCCAGGCAGGGACCATAAGGTCTGGCTGCAGCTTCTTTGAAATATGCAGGGGAAAAGGGATGGTAGTAGAAGCGTGAAATAAGCCTGCATAGCTAGTTGTTCTTTCTTAATTTAGGGAAGCTTGAAGACCTAAACTGTCTTTCAATGCACTTTTTTTTTTTTTTTTTTTTTTTTGGTACACTATGAAGGTTCACATTTCCTTAGTGCAGCACGAGAATGTAGATTGTTTGGAACTGCCGTAATCAAGAAGCTAATGTTAGAAGTCCAGCTGAGCAGATGATACGCCATTGCTAGGGCTAACAGGGTGCTTCCCTCGTCTTCCAGCCTTTTACTCTGGACCTTTTTAATCTCTCCTCACTGTTGCTAGAGGAAGTGCTACTTCTTGTGTTATGTCTCCAATTGCGTGCATGCACAGATAATTTAGTAAAAAATATAGAAAATAATGGCATAGTAGCAAAATTAACTTTTCATAAATATTTTCTGGAAGTACATGGAAGGATGGGATAGGCGGCCTTCTTAGAAAATTATTTACGTTCTGTTAATGTGTGTGTACAAATATCTAAATGACTGAAAAAAAAAAATTTTTGATCTTACTAGAAAATAATAAAGTCTAAGTTAGATATGACTGACATAATTGTACTCCAAGATTGAATAGAAAATCCTGCTTCTCTAGGACATTTGAGGGAAGCAAGTGATTCTTGGTCCCAGATCGGTTCCAACACTTTCTGCTTGAAATTGGGGTAATCTTTGAAATTTAGGAAAACATTCCAGTAAAAGGCTAGAGAGAGAAAGGAGAAAACCCTTGAAATTAGCGTGACAGGCATTTTTTTCTAGATAGCAGTGGGGAAAGCAGTGTCTTGTCCTTAAATTTTCAGACTGCTGCAAAGTTTGTCAATTAATGACTCCTAGAGGGCCTGACTGAGCAGCAGATCTTCACTTACATGAATTGTTCAGAGTTGCTGAAGTGGTCTTGATGATCCCTGCAAGGGGACCCTGTGTGTATGGATGGTAAGACTGGAGGTTATTCTTGCTGATTTGATTAGAGACTGGGAGCATTTAAGCCTTTATTTAGCAAATTAAAAAACAAAGCCTTGAAAACCACTGTGATCTTCGGAGCTGAGCAATGGATGAGAGAAATAACATTTACTAGAAGGTTTAGTTGAAAAAAAACAAAAC